TTCCCCTGAAGTTTTTCCCTTTTCCCCAAAAAAGAATCAGACCTTTTTTTGTGTGTGCGTTGCGGTTGGCGGTTACTGCGCAAATTGGAATGAGATCTGGGCGCCGCGAGTCGTTCCAAACCGCCCCGCGAGCCGCATAGACTCTTCTGCTTTCGATTAGAAGAAGACGGCGTGGGTCTCGACCCTTGCCCCTGCGTCCGTTTCACACTTTGAAGCGTGAAGCATGAAGTGCTGGCAAAAACTCGAATGATGGAAATCTGGTGTCAAAAACTTTGCATTCCTAGCGGGGACTTCTTAACCCGCACCGCTATCCCACCTCGGGATTTCACACTTCTAACTCTTTTTATCTCCCTTTTTTTAATCAGTTGTACCTCTACTCCTCGCGGTCCTAATGTCAAGAGGCAGAGGCGAACGTGCAACGGGACAAAGGCGAAACAAACATGAGATAGCGAATCACAAGTGGTTCGTATAGTGCTCCTGGTGGCACCAGCGTACCTGCGTGCCGACGCATGCGGGTGTTTTGACGGTCAGCCACTGAGCCACCACTCTACATAAATGTACAGTTCTTGGCAAAACAAATCGATTGGAGCACAAGTAGTACGCACATTTACTGTCATTTCCGACAGACTCTGTTATTGAGTTTGAGGACAATTACACGACGTGCAATATTTACAATAAGAAAATCTGAGCTGGTCCGGATACTAAACTCGTATTAACGTAAAACCGGAAGGCATACGTGTGTGTTTACGCGGACAGAGAGGGTCGGGTCGGCAGCGAGCCGCAAGACAACAGCCGGCCGACCCGAGCCGATCTGGCCGATCTTTTGCCGAGATTGGAAAGCTACGAGGCTGGAGGTCAAGCAATAGTGGGACCGCAGAGGGGAAGGGCTCCACCGGCACCGGCAAATCTTCCACGGCGGTCCGAGCAATAGGTTTGGTGTGCCCACCGGGTTGCACACGTTCCCTAAACTTATTTACTGCTGAAATGGAAGCGCTCACCCCAGCCGCCATATCATGTATGTGCTCTTACTCAACACAAAGAATTCTATGAATCAATAGACAGCTAATAGTCAGTGCTCAAGCTGCGTATGAAAAGATTTCACCCATTTCAGTGTGCAAGTTGCTTACAAGGGTAGTTTCTGACGACATAGGAAGCAATAACGTTTCGACAGTGTATCGTGTTATCCCTAAAAATCTCTACTCTCTCTCTCTCTCTCTCCCTCTCCCTCCTTCCCTCTTTCCCCTGGGGCTTACCGGACCAAAGTCCCCCTCGGTCCGGCCGGGCTCCGGCTTCGCTTCCACGTGCTTAGCTGGTCCGCAATCAGAGCCCAGGGCATAAGTACTGCGGGCCTCAGGGGGGGCTGGCTAGGGTGGGCCAGGGCGGGCAGGGCCCGGCGCCTTGCAGGCCCGGCCTACGGCAGCCTACGGCAGCCTACGGCCTTAATGAGTTAGCCGCCCGCCGGGAGCCCACCGGCCAACAACGGAAACAACTTAAATCACGGCTGAACCCGCGTGGAAATAATTTAGGCGCAGCCCAGGCCTGCCTGCCGTACGCCGAGTAGTAGCGCAGCACACCGCCGCCGCCAGCACTCGCGAGCGCGAGCCGAGCGCGCGCAACTTTCAAACCTTGGCGCGCCTGCCTGGGCCCCGGTGGTGGTGCCCCGCTGCGCCGCGCTAGCGCGCCTGCAGCTGCTGCAGTCGCCGCAGCTGCTAGGCCGCGGCGCGATGGAATGACCTATCCAGCCGGCGTCTGGCGGGCGCGTGCGAATAAACCGGCTAGTCGAGCCGCTTCGCGCGCGCCCACTCCGCTGTGCTCCGCCGGTGTGGTGGGAGGCGTTCGTAATCGCACCGGCTCTCCCGCTCGCGCTTTGCCTCTCCTTTCCCCCTCCCCCCCCCGACCGTCCGACAGAGACGACAGCGAGATATTGTTTTCGCGCCAGTGCCAATGGCCACGCCGCAGCATCACCGCGCTGCCGGCTGCTGGCGCTTGCACGCCTCGCACTCATTTCTAGTAATTCCAACGCCTTTGCCAGGAGTTGCGCGCGGATGCGCCAGGAGCGGCGAAGACCTTAGTTCCGACGCGCGTTACTTCACACTTCAATAATCGGTAGCCCGACAGCAGAGAGAGGTGCCTTCCAGCCCCAGGCTCTCTGGCCCCCTCCCCCCCCCTCCCCCTCCTCCACTCCCATCTCTTTCATCTACTTCCTGCACAGCGCTTCGCCTTCTTCGGGAGCTTCTCAGCGGTTTTTCATGCGCCCGGGTGGGCCCCGTAACTCGTCGCCGAGCCCCTGCCGTAGTGCAGCAAGTTGGGCGGCAGAGTCGGCAGAAAGGGGGCAGGGTGGGGAGGGGGGCATGACTTACAGATGGGCCCTCCCCCACTCCCATACCTCTCATTTCTCTCTCCCTCTCACCCGCACTCTCAATCCCTCTCTCTCTCTCTCTCTCTCTCTCTCTCTCTCTCTCTCTC